ACTAAATAACGAACAGTTTCTGATCAGTTCAAGTCGTTATCTTCTCAAAAATATATAGAGCCATTTTCTTGTAGAAACCGTCCGTTGTACTTTTATCACAAAAGTCCTTGATGGATATCTGCTGATCTAAAAATTTTCTTAACATTTTTCTGATGAAACAGTTGACAAGTGTGATCAATATCGCCACAACTTTTTCAACACAATAAATTTCAATTTTTTGAAGTCATTCGGTCGAATTTGGTAGCTTGTCAAAAGAAAACATTTACTTCACTTGCACATTCTACAATTTAATCTTTCACACTACTACATCTAACTGGAAATTTTTCTGCGTACCGAATTTCAAACAGATAGATTTCTGTGAACTGATCTTAGTACATTTCGATCTATTCTTTCAACTGAAATTAGTTTCAAAAAAATTGAAAAGAATGAGAAAGTCATCATTGGTAATTAAAACAAACAGTTATTTTGTGTTGAATCATTGTCATTTTTAAGCACCGTCAAGACTCGTTACCGTTGATAAATCTTCAATCACGGCCAAACTCATAACAGGTTTATGTTTATGGCTTTCACTATGAACACCATGAAATCCACCAACGATGTAGCATGTTTTCTTTTGCCTGGTACAGTGATTTTCAACTTCAACCGGTACTTTTATATTATTTAACGTAATATCACCAAACCCAATTTTATTGGAATTGATATCAATACCATAAAATACTTTTAATATCCATCCACTAATGTATGTTGTACTACCGGAACCTAATCAGCCATGATTTAGATTCATTACACGATCCCAAAAGCTAGAATTTACGTGTCCCTGATACGTTTTAATAAATTCATCTAATATTGGTAATACATTATCTAAATATTGACAATAATCATCACCAGTTTTGGTATACATTTTCAATTGTTCGGTCTTATGTTTCAATAAATGCCAATCATCCAATGTACCTTTTTAACAACGACAAAATAACATGCATTTAAAGAATTACATTCAACATCAAATGTTATCATTTCACATACATACCCTGAAAATGTACAGCTCTTATTCCGCAAGCTGGAATACATCGTCCATAAGAAAAGTAAACTTTAAAGGTATCCATTATACAGGCATAAGACAAAATTGATTCAATTTGTGTAGTTGTTGAAAACTTTGATACTACGTGATCAATAATATCGGCATTTTTTACATTTTTTGATATTTCTTCTTTTACAAATTAATCAGATTAGATTAGTAAAGTTAAATAACTTCTTTCAGTTAAACAGTTTCAATCAACAAAGAAAAACCCATTATCAATAAAAGAAAATGATATGAAGCGTATTCTATACAACAATGTTTTTTAAAGGAGAAAGAATGACCGTTCGTATATATATACTGGAACCTCTCTTTGTTAAGAAAAATTGAAATCGTATATAGTTTATAAAAAGAGAGGTTCCAGTATATATATACGAACGGTCATTCTTTCTCTTTTTAAAAACATTGTTGTATAGAATACGCTTCATATCATTTTCTTTTATTGATAATGGGTTTTTCTTTGTTGATTGAAACTGTTTAACTGAAAGAAGTTATTTAACTTTACTAATCTAATCTGATTAATTTGTATAATGTGTCTATCGCATTACCTTTATCAACTCGGAAAATGACTATGTTCTTGTTGTTTCGTGTTAGAGCTTGGTATTCTTTGTCGCTGATATTTCTCACAAACCTTTTCCGGCTCGATCACATTAGCGCCTGTGAGGCAGCATGTAGGTGTTGAAGCTTATTATGATGAATTTTTGAGAGGCGATCACGTTCAAACGTAGAAATATCGTAATAGAATTTTTTAATGTTAAAAACTCAATGTCACTTAATTCACGCTGTAGATAATCAATACCGTCTTCTCATTCTTTATCCAGCTGTAACATGCCTTTATAACGGCTTTTACATTCTTGAAGAATGCAATCTCTCACTATGTTCAAATACTGTTGAACAGCAGTGATGGCCACTCGGAGTCATGACTCGGACTCGAGTCGCATTATTTTAACGACGCTGACTTCGCCCGACTCGAAAATTGGACGACGTTGACTCGACTGTTTGACTCGAGTCATTCATTCGAAAAATATTCTATTCACTAACTGCTTTGCATACATTTCCTCTTGTATAAATTTGGATATTTCTGAATACTCTTTCTTGTTTTATTTTTATTGCTACGTTTCAGCGCGAGTCGCATTGAAAATGGTTGAAGTTGAGCTTCGCAGGAGCTCTGGGACTTAAGGAGATCATAGGAGTTCATAGGAATCCTGCAGTCCCGACGTCCGATGTTCACCCTTGATTTTGTCTCTGACTTGAAAAATGTAACGGAGAAATTCTTCAACGGAGTTCACCCTTGTAAATCGAAGAAAGTGATTTTGTCAGAACCTCATTCGTGGGACAAGATTTGATCTTGTAGGAATCGAAGGTATATTTTAAGTAGATAAAGATGATGTCATACTTTAAATAGAAACCGGAAACTTTTTGAATTTATTTAACAACAGTAAATACACACACACTTTGGTGAGCCTGCAGCATCATTGATTCATCTGCAATAATGCACAGTTTTAAATGTAATTAGCACATTACTTCATGGATTCGCACAGGAAAAATATTTCCAGAAAAAACTTACGAACAATCTAATTCTACCTTTGAAGAGAGCGAAACACTTCATGTGGTTTTCTTTCTTGAATTCTTTTTTATTTTATTTGTCTAACGTTTGCCCACTACCACTAAGGACAGCAGCTCTTTGGATGCTGCTGAAAAATGAATTTTGTTCTAAAGACGGGATGAGTTTTAATACTTTATTTATGGAATAATTTGAAGCTGAAGACTAACTTGCTCGAAATATATAAATGAATTAATGTTTTAATTCAAGTTTTTTAAGAAAATCAATGAAAACATTGTTGTTACAGACATTTTAGTCTTTTTCTGTGCCGTGAGATTGCGTTTAGTTTTAGCTGAGATATGCGAGATTCAATTTTTATCAAAATTAGTCAAAGTGATTGAGAATCATTTTGGTAAAAAAAATAAAGAACAATGCTCTTCTTACTGTAAAAGTGACAATTATTTTTTCCGAAAACAAGCTTCACACATTAAATGTCCTGTGAGATTTTCAATCTTGTTTTTCTAATATCGCCCTTAATACTCAATTTTTTGCAGAGATTCTTTTATTCTTTTCTCCTTTTGAGATGTACAGCACATGTCCCAAATTGCGATTCAAAGCATTCTGTCGTTCCTAAGAAAAATGTCCCGCGAGGTTAAACTCGCCATGTCCCCATGGAAAATACACTTAATCTAACTTTATCACAAACCATTTGATGAAGCTTGGCGATACAAATCTAATCATGTACGTCTTGTAGCCCTGTTATGCAGTAGTTGTTTTTCTGAAGCTGAAGAATCTTGAATAATACATTTTCTCAGAAAATTGCATGAAAGAATCTTTCTCTGGCAATAAAACGCATTGAATCGCACGTCATTTACAGAGGCCTCATCGAGATCTATCGATTGATGTATTCAAATCATAATGGACTGCGGGATTATTATACTTTTCGTAACGAAAATCTGTTTTCTGAGAAAAATGGAAGGAGAAATCGGGAAAATTACTTTCTTATCATCGACTGGGCTATCAGAATTTATTGAGATAGTCAAAAAAAGTTCATAAGTCAGTTTACTTTTTACAATTTTTTCACGGAAACTGTACAAAAGCAGTGCAAATCGCACATACACATTCGAATGGGTTCTAAAAGGTAATCTTTTTAACTTTGCTGGATGTGATTTATCCGGCAATGCATTAAAAGACGAGAAAAAAGTTTTACTGAAAGTTCGAATTTCCAGCATCTTAGTCGAGCACATTTGATAAAAGGTATTTTTGACCAAACGGTTTGAGGAAAGCTCTTATAACTTTGCGTTCTGACACGGTATAAGTGACGGATAAAAGAAAAGCATAATCATTATACGTGTATTATAACTTCTACAAAAGTCATATATTCCAAACACGTGGCTGAGGCTCCATATAAAAGTGAGCTGGGGTATCCACTAAATTTAGCACTCCCATATATACACCTGTATCTATATATATATATATATATATATATATATATATATATATATATATAGAGAGAGAGAGAGAGAGAGAGAGAGAGAGAGATAATTATAGTTATAGTTAGTCTATGCTCATTTCATGCAATCTACAATTCATCTCGGGTAAGAAGCGTGATATTAATGCATATACTTGTAGCATTTTGTATAAAGAATAGCCGAAAAGGCAGAAATATTATGCACATATACAAGTAACCAACATAAAACCATTTACTTACTGTTACTCGATATTTTCATGCCACTCATTTTATCAGTTATGGCACTTGCTGTGGCTGTTGTAAATTTATCATTATCATTTCCAATCTCTTTCAGATGAACAATATGTACACTACCATGATGAAGTAGAGGATCACTTACAACTTTCAATGTCGCACCAGGCATGAACAAAATCTCATTTTCTTCAGGATAACACGTATTTGGTGTACGCATTTGGTGTAACACCGTATTCGGCTGTTTCTAGTGGAACCAATTTCGAACCGAAATAACCAAAACAAGCTGGCAGTCTTTTATTACTTATTTCAATGTTAGTAAATCGCTGATAACTACTCATAGCTGAACCTAGAAAACGTTGCAACGTAGTTTGAATAATATTCGCTTGACTGTAAGTCAACGATTATATAAAATAAAATGCGTACCAAGGTGGTTTAGGCTAGTTTGGGTTCCAAGTCTTACTCTTTGCGCTGCAATGTGACGAAAATAACTCTTAATTACCCTTTTCTCATTATCATAACACTTTTTGGCTAATTAGCGGGGTTATAAGGTTGTTTCCACTCGCTGCCTAAATCAGCCCGAGTTATTATTAATCAGTCTTTTAAGCAGACGCCATTTTCAAATTTTTCATATACTCACTGCTTGAAAAGTTTCAATGAGATACCGGTGACTTCACGGACGTCACCTCACCTTCCCAAAATAGTTTTTTATAAAAACTGACCTTCTCTTTCTTACTCATATTTGAATGTAAAGCAGGAAAACGAACGATGTGATGTTGTGCACACGTTGCATGTGTAATCTGGTATTTATCATATGCACGACATAAATATTCGACGACCACAACTACACGGCTATCTTTACATGATTTACTTCTACCGATAACATGAAGAATTAAACTGTTCGTAGTTTTACCGAAACGCTCATTTTTAAGCTTACAATTCTACAACTGAAAAAAATTTTTGGTTTTATGCTTTTTTCAGTCTTGGGATATACAGCGAAGCTGTTCATCAAATGTCTACTTGAAGTAATACAATTCAGAAAGGTTGAGGCAAACATTTTTAAATATCATTAGGCTCATGTGAAATCAAAGTCAAAATACTACAAATAGTAGGAAAACAATCTCTTTTCTCCTGGTTCCTTGGCAAAATCTTATTTTTTATAGTTATAGAGATAGTGAAATGCCTTGTTAACATCACATTTCATATGATTAATTGAATTTCATGTATAACTTTCAAGTAAAAGTAATAAATTTGTCGAAATCCTGTACTAAACGCATATCGAAAAATCATGCCAAGTCATGATTGAAAAAGGTATTAAGCTGTAAGGATAAAACTGTTTTTGCTCTTATTGGTGTCAAATGTAGCCGAGTTTATGACGATGTGTTTTTGCAAGTTTGACCTTGAAACAAAGCTAGACAACTGAGTCCTTGTAAATTTAATTTTTTCAAAACTTTTCACTTTTCTCATTTTCACTCCTTGTCTTGCATATTTGTTCAACAAAAATCATAGAAATTTTTAATCTGTGTGGGCTAATTACTGCAGAACTAAATACAGATCTTTTTGCTGAGAACCGAATTTTGAAATCTATGAAGGTTATCGAGTTATATGCTTTTTATTCTGATCGATACCCTATTGAGATCTTACTAAGAAAATGTTAATTTTCTTTCCAATGGAAAGGAATTTAAATAAAATAGTAGCAGACTGAAATGTGCCAAGTAATAATATAGTTAGCCATAGGATTAGTTTTCCCTTACTCAAATCTTTGCAAAAAATCGGCGGTGTCCTTTAATGTGTTGCTGTTATGTAAAACTGTGATTTTCTATCCTGTTTCCCTTATTTGTTCTTTCCCCACATACTTATCTTCAATCTCTGTAGGACTCTAATGCCTTTATTTTGTATGATATTGTTATGTATGTATTTATCTACTAGATACTTGATGTACTTTTTTCTTTGGTTTATAGGTGTAACATTTGATAAGAACTATCTCTTTCTTCGTCTGTTATAATCATGGTTAGCAAGTTCGATTCAACATGTATTCTTATTTGTTCTATATCTCGTTTCTTGCTTTTGAAAAGGTTCTGTCAACAAGACGATACTCATGAGATGATAATTCACTGCAAAATAAAAGCTGAAAAAACAGCATTCGTTTAGTTGACGATGTAAATCTGAAACACTACACAACATTTCACTCACTTAAGAATTATTTTTTTCATTTAGTTTCCTTATCATCTAACAGGAGTCAGTATTATTAACTTGAAAGACAAATATTTTTCAAATTTTTCTAAAGAAAGGGAAAATATATAAAATATTTCACGAGTAGACTAAACCGTCATAAAATGTGCAATCTAAATTAGCTTACAAATTCAAACTATTTATTGACTAGTGAACAAAAAACACGTAAATTGATTTAAGTCATTCAAGAAAAGGTAACACATTGACAATCTTTGCCAAACATAAGTGCAGAGTTATATTCTGAACGTGGGCATCTGGAGCTGCATATTCATATGGCCATTTCAAAATCGACTTGTTCGGTGAACATTGACTTTTTTTTGGGTACACCCTAACGAGGGAACCTCCCCAGGTGTTACACTCTGCTTGAAATTATTTATGTGCCGATCGATAGAGGATAGTGAGCTAGTAAAAGCTTCAAAAGAATTTGTGCCCTTCTCGAGTTATGGTTGATGAAATCTGAGTTTCTGGTATTTTGAATGCAGCGGACTACTGGAAGATGTTGAAGAGCTGAAAAACACGCCAATAATAGTGCCAATCACAATCCTTAAGCTACAAAAATATCAGACCTTTGTCTTATGTCTGTCGTGAAAAATTGAATTTTCTGTTTTTCATAGGGTTTCTGGAGTGCCTCGTGACTTGCAAATGAAAAAAAATGTTCTTTTCATTATCAAGTCCGTGTTTTGCATTCATAAGTCAGTAAAATCACTTATTACCTATGTTAGAGCGTTTTCTTAGTGTTTGCACTATTGAATTAAAGGATTAGATTTATTTTCATTTGTAAGTCACACGGCACTCCAGAAACCCTATGGAAAACAGAAAATTCAATTTGTCACGATAGACATAAGATAAAGGTCTGATATTTTCGGGTGGGTGAAAGATGAACACGAAGAAACTTGAGTACGGGAAAGTTGAGCGCTAGGAAAAGTGGGCACTAGGAAAATTGAACTCGAGAAAACTTGAGCACTGAGAAAAATGATCACAAATTTGTATTAAATAATTTGAAGCAGAGTGTAATACCTGAGGAGGTTCCCTCGTAAGTGTCACATCTCCTAAGGACTAATAAAAGAAAAATTTCCTAACTGCGTAAACTGAGTAATAATAGCACTAACATTCGAGTAGAGTACGGAAAAACAAAATAACCTCAAAGAACACCAAACAAGTTTGAGTTTTACCATTCCGAACGAACATTTATCACACTGTAGCAGTTTAATAGACTTTCTAATTGAAAATGCGTGCATAATCAAAGATTTTTAGAAGAAACCAAAAGGTATTCTCAAAGGGCTTACGTAATGATTTGTGTGTTTATATTAGAACTGACGTTGACAACTAATATCAATCATACACTAAAAGACTTACAGAACATCAATGGAAATTGTCTCAGAAATCATTTATATATCATTTTATAGAGCGAACAATTCTGTATGAAACTACTAAGAAAAGTTCTACCATCGAATAAACAAAGATACTTTTCGTGTAGACTTCTATCTTTCGTGTTAGTTGTATGCCATTTTCTCCTCTATTAAATCACACCATGAATCTTTTCCTATAAGACCAATTTTTTGAGAGGATATAACCAAAGCAAAAGTCCGTATGACATACTGCTACTATAGATGCTAGAACTATCACAAGAAGAACATTGGTTACAACCAAAATGAACCTACAGCATAGCATGAAACGCGTCCTGTCGACAAATGACAGCTACGTTTGAAGACTCAACGAGAATAGGTCAAAAGATCCCTCATATCTTGTGTTGCACACCCACAACAATCAACAAACATAATCGAAAATTTTCAATCCAACGAAATTCTCACACTTTAAGACGTTGAAGCACATGAACAAAACTGAGTCTGAGATTTATAATACTCACCGAACCTACTAACTTCCTGCATAAAATTATATCTAACAAAAGCCGCTGAGTGGCTGCCACTCGACTAATCGACAATTAGAAGGACATGACCTTCTGATATGGCCGATGGAATCGGTGAAAATTTTTGGAACATTTTGCTGATCGAAAAACTTTATCCGCTGGCGCGCTGCTCCTGAGGCGGCCTCCTAATATGCGATAGCCTTCTACTCTAGGGGTATCACTAACACAGCGCTCGGTTATGAGCATGCTTTTTCACATTTAGATATAACAATCTTTCCAACATGACAGAATATCAGCAGCTTCAATATAATGAGAATATTCGAAGAGTTCCTATTCACATTATCGATGATGTCCAACATATTCTACTAGAAGATATACATGATACAATATCATTTTGTATCACTGCATTATTCAGACTAAATGGAGATCCTGTCAAATGCGAAAGAGAGAAAAATGGAAAAAAATTAGATCCAACAAGATTTAAAGCATATCCAAATGAAATACTTGATTGTCACGTATCTGATGGTCGTGGAATCACAAATAATAAAACAGATGACAAGCTTAATCTTATTATCGACAACACAACTCAAATATTAAAAAGATTAGATGTTGTACTTCGTCAAATGTATGAGTTAAATGAATATACTGTACCAAGATTATTTATCATATTGCCAGAAAAAAAGTCCATATTCAATCCAAATAATCTCCTACATAGTTCATATCGTTTGTTCTTTT